CTTCCTATAACATGCTGAGCATCCTGCCTTCAATGTCTGACAAGGATCTCAACAGCAACCACATCCAAGCCTGAACTTAACCCCGGTTTCCTTCTTCCTACCCTCTCAATCAGCTCAAATCTCTGTCCCCTTCTCAGCAGTTCCAGGGCCACAGCTCAGGCCCAAGAGGGCACATGGCTCTACTTTCTGTTTCCTGCTCTGGATGGACTCTTGGGAGCTTCTCACTTTTTCTTAAGTCCATTTATTCTAGAGGGACGAGCTCATCTGTAAAGCGTTCCAGTTACATTCCAGGCTTTGGGCTCTACCCAAATGCTCACAAATTAACTGCTTACAGCAGTTGCCCAAATGACTCAGAACCAGGAAAGAAAACATACTAACACACAAACATATTCCCCACAACGGAAAAGAAGCTAAGAAATGCTACCAGTCAAATGTAGTATCCAAGACCTGTCAGCCATAATATACCATATCCCTACTGACATTCCAGCCTGATCTATATGACCAAACTTCTGCAATGAGGCCCATTCTGTCATGCATCTTCTTGCGTTTCCCTAGTACCCAGATATTTTCTAAGAAAGGCAGTCCTGTCCTAAACCACCAAGCTCATTTGGCAAGCTCATTTCTGGCGTGAATCGGACATCAACCACTGCTGCTTCAAAAGTTCCAGCATTTCAACTTTGTGAAACACAACTCTCTTTGCATAGACTTTGAAGGATGAAAATGTATAAAATGGCAGCTTCTTTAAACAAAATAATTCTTTGTAAAAAGTCCCCGTCACCATGGAAACCAAATAGGATGATAACCCTGCCTACTCTCATATTAGTCAACATCAAGCTGCTAGAAAATTTAGAAAAGATGCTTGATAAATAAGGTATATTTGATAATCAAGACTTATAAATTCCTAAGGTCTACTCTGGTTCATAAGTAATATTTGTCTAGCCTCATCTTTGCTCACTTTTAAGCTTTAGCTATATAGATAAACTAAGTCACACACACCCCCCCCCCCCATGCAATATTCTATAATGGAGTGTCTGGTTCCCAGAGAAAGTCTTTTTCCCAAGGTCAGGCATATAGACAAAAGTCTCCTTCCCTCAGGGGCTTGAAGTGGGTTCCTGCTTGCTAAAAGGGAGTCATTCTTATCTCTGGCAAGAGGAATTTGTGGCCCTTCCATTACCATAAAACTGGTGCCTATTAGCTTGTCAAGGTCAATGCAGCTTCCTCAATCCCAGACCACAAGCCACACCCCAGCTGACATGCCCTCTTCCTCCCACTTAATCCTTTGTGCAATTACAGAGTATAAAAGGTGTAGCCTTTTCTTCAGGGAACAGGCAGCCATCCCGATTCTCTCTCAGAGCCCGTCAGTCTTCTCCTTGTTCTCTCGGACTCCACACCTCTTCTCTGGGACCTGAATTCTGCTGGACTCGGACAGACCTCTCAACTAAACACCTGTCCGCTCTCTTCCTGGTCTCCACACTTGTCATCAGTGGCAGAGGTGACATTCCGAATGCTAGACCTCTCTGGATTTTAATATCTCTTCTTTGATACTGTTCGTGTTGGTTGTAGTTCCATCTTGTCTAGGTCATTATCCCTTATTCCTCCTGGACAATATTTGATAATCATTCCTATTGTATATAGTTTTGTATTAGGTTAGAACTTTCTATTAGACAAAAGGGGGAGATGTAGTGGGTAGTTGTTCCAGCTTTGACCTGGAAGTACTACCCCCAGTGAGGCTTCAGGTAACTGTCACACCTATGAGGGGCCAAGAGAGGAGCCCTTAAGACCCTAGATCCGGATGTGCCAGCTCTCTTGGTTCCTGGACCCTGGACGCTGGAAGTAGACCGAGCAGTTCTCCAGAGAACACCATCGGACTGCACTACACCTTTCCCAGACCCTGTAACCTATCCCTTTACTTGTAAGCTACCCTATAAAATAAACCTCCCTTTTAACTACGTAGAATTGCCTTAATACTACAACCAATATATGTGTTTAAGAAACTGGCCTATAGCATTCCCTAGTCTGTGGCTTGTTGACCACTCCTCATGGTGTCATGAAACAAGTTCCACTTCTCACTGGCATCCTGAACATGGCAGGTTTAGATTAAGCACACTCAGTTCACTTTTCTGGCAGGACTTCCTCATGCCAGGTGGGGTATATTAACACCAGGAAGCATAGACTACCCGGCTGCCTTTCTTGTCCTGATGCTAGCAACCACCAACAATCACTAGCTATCTCTATTATTTCACAACAGACTCTAAAAGTGACACACTGATATTAAGATGACTTTTTTAACAGCTAAGGTATGCCAACAATGAGACATTTCTTCTTATCAATTATGTGTTACCTTCAGCTACAGTTTGGAGGAAAGATGGGAAGGGATAGTTGAGTCTTTCCATTTATTATTAGTTTTAAAATGAGTTAGTTAACTTCTAGAATCCTCTGGAGTTTTTCAATTACTATTTGGTTTTAGTATTACTGAGAACTTAGGGTTCAAATATACTTAGCGTACACTCAAACACTGTTTATCTTCTTTATTGATCCTTAAACTACCCCACCTTTGGCTCCTGAAGTCTATAAAATGCCCTCTTTAAGTTTTTGATTGACAGGGTGTTCTAGGTTCACAGGCATACTTCCTGCTCTAGCAGTGGCCACGCACAACGAAGCTTCACTCACTTCAATGGGCCTGGGACTTGAGAGACTAAAGCGTACTGCTTTTAGGTAGTACTCAGGACTTCTAGGTTGGTCCTTGTTTCTACACATTTCCAGGAAAGGCCTTGAAAATTACTGTCCCTGGGTCTTTCTTTAACCTCTGCTACTGTTCATCTGTCTGTGACCCACACCAAAGTCCAGGTTCCCAGATCCACGACCTCAACGACCCCTTTGATTTATTCTGTAAAACACATAAATGAGCCTGACATTCACACCACCAATCTAACCATCACACTGTGACTACTCATCCTCAGGACTGCTTTTGGAGTTCCTATAGCTAGAGTTTAGTAGGTATTTATTGACATTTAAACTAGCCCTAGCCGTAACCAGATATACGATCAGGTTCACCTGTTTCAATTTGACTGAACATTAGGGCTCTTCCACATTTTAATTTTGGTTTAAGATCATGTAAAATACATCTATTTCCAAGTCAAGGGGGAAAAGAAAGCTCTATTCAGAGACATCTGGCTTTCGGCCTTTCTGTCTCCCCCACCTCCCTGTCCTCTCCATCACAACCACTTGCTGTTTTCACGCCTTTCTCTTCCCTTTCCTGGGTGCTGAGTCCAGGGCCTGCCTCTCACCTGCTGGGCAGTGCTCCACCACCGACCCTACCCACAGTCCTCGGCCGCAGGAGCCTGGGCACTGCCCTTCCTCTTTTTGATGAATCACACTACCCTCATCTCTCCCCTGCTACCATCACTGACCATCACTCCACAACATTAAAGGGGTACCGTTCACTTCTTGATACAGATACAGACATTGCAGAAGTCAACCAACAGCTCTCATCCTGACCACCACTTGGGCTGCCTCCACTCTGTTATTGTCAACAGGGCTGTAATACAGCCTCACATGTGGTATGTTTTGTCTTATTTTACCAGTGCAACACCTAGATAAGTCCCTGGAGTCAGAGTGGCTGGGCCAAAGAGGAACTATAAACGTGATCTTTGTAGACATTGCGGATTCTCGGCATTTAGACTATTTCGCACTCTGAGTATCTGAGAACACCCGCTTCCACCATCCCATCCACAGATCAAACGCCAAACTTCTACATTTCTGTTTCTAACAATGAAACATGATATTTCAGTAGCACTTATTTGCTTACTTTACCAGTACACAGATTAAACATCTTTTGATACACATTTAAGAGCAATTTGGAACCTTTTATCTGTAACCCACCTGTTCATTTATTGAATTTTTAGGAGTATTCATACTTCATGATACAAGCTGCAAATATTTTTTTTCAATTTGTCACTAGATTCTTTTTATTTGGCTTACCATGTTTTCTATTATACAAACACATTATTATTATTGTTATTATTATTATTGTTTTGTTGTATGTGTATGAATGTTTTGTCTGAACATATGCATGTGTACCACTTGTGTTCCTGGTTCCCATGGAGGCCAGAAGAAAGTACTGGATTCCCTGGAACTGGAGTTACAGACAGCTGTGAGCTGCCATGTGGGTGCTGGGGCTCAAACCTAAGCTCTTCCCCTGGAAGAAGAGCCAGTGCTCTTAACTGCTAAACATTTTCTCAAGCCCTACAAAAAAAAAATTTTTTTTCAGCAAATTTGACACTTGCTCCCATTCTTGCCTATGGATTCTGAGAGGACGGGAATTTACAACACTACCAGCTGTAGAGGAGTCTATCAAGCTTTCCCCTAGTACTTGCAACGAATGTCTTTATTTTTATATGGTATCTGACTTATAGGTAATTTAGTCTTGACACAATACAAATGAATCCATTATTGTGTGCTTTTCAAACAAAACATCTCTGAGTATTTACTGCCCCATTTTCTACTCAGTTCCACTAGTCTGTTTGAAGCACCTATCACAGTTTTAATTACAGAGCCTTAGGGCCCAGGGATTAGCGAACCATACTCCTCCACTGTTGCCTCTGTTTAAGAGTTTTCCTTATATTCTTATTTATTTGTTCTTTCTAATGAAGCACCTTCTAACTTTCTAGTTCCAGGAAAACATGCAGACACATAAAAGTATAATAAGCTATAAATTAAGCAGAATGATAACGATTCTAAAACCAAAAGCCACGAAAAGGACTACACGTTGAAAGGGAAAGCCTTGAAACATTCGCCATTATGTGAAAGTGAAAAGACACGGTTTAACCCAGAAAACTCTGATACACCAATATGGGAAGGTTTTATTTACATAAATTTACACCAACCAGCAAAGAAACACATCTGCTTCCTTTATATCACGAATTACATCAAAACGTGGCGTAACAGGAACAGCAGGATCAAATAAGCAAGCTGGGAAGACTTAGGAACATGTTGCTCACCTTCCTTTTTCAGCCATTTCACAATGTTCCCTTGTTCCATTGTAGGAGACAGCGATGGCATTAGGATCTTAATAGGATCCGCTGAAATTGAAGACAGAAAAGATTAACCAAAGTATACACACACACACACACACACACACACACACACACACACACGTACCTCACAGTCTATTGAAAAGTAACTATGGAAAAAACAAAACCTTAGGTTTGTTTAATAAATACTTAAATATTTAGAATATGTTCAGCTCCTTTTTCATGACCAAAAGACATGAAACAAAATCAAGACAGGGTTCTAAGGTCCTACAAAATAATAATCGAGACCAGACATTAAGAACCTGGTTGTTTTAATTTCTTCTAATCCTATGCTATTCAATCTGCATCTGTTGTTGCCAGTAGGAATGAGCAGGAACATCGGCCTTGTCAAGAGTGATTGGGCAGGAAAGCCTAAGCAGACCTCAGATCCCAACAGGTGATCTAAAAATGCACTCTTGACCCATGAGACCCTCAGGAAAACACAGCTAAGGAACTACTTTCTCCTTAGGCATCTAAAGGAGACACTACATAATCACCCAGTACCCTTCCCAAGAGTCTTCATTGTTTAGACCTCATTGGAAGAGCATGTGACTTTTACATTACAACTTATGTGAAAGTCTTCCTGCCTAACTCAAGGCTGGCCCCTACTATGCTATGGCACTTTGTGTCACTGTGTCCCTTAATGCCCCTTAAATGCAACTCATCATTTAACCACTGGTAGTGGTTACCTAGTCACCAAGGTAGTAGTACCATCAAGTGGTCTAGTCACCAAGAAATCAACCACAGCAAACCAGACCTATCAACTCCACAGGAACACTCTTCCTAAGTCTAACAAAAACCCTAATATACCTTTACCTTGGGCACAAAGAACTGCGGCATGAAGAAAGCACTTTTACAACTGATAAGGAGTGTTTCAAATGCAGCAGAGAGCAGCTAATCTCAAGTGTATTAGGACGGATATAAATATTGGCTGGAGAGCTAGCTGAGTGGTTAAAAGAACTTGCTGTTCTCCCAGGACTTGGGTTTCAGTCCCAGAACCCAAATGACAGCTTATAACCATCTGTAACTCTATCTCGTTCCAGGATTTGATGACCTCTTCTGGCCTCGTGGCTCCAGGCATACAAGTGGGTACACAAACATACATGCAGTTAGAACGCCCATATGCACAAAATAAAGTAAAATAATAATAATAATAATAATAATAATAATAATAATAAAATATGAGGGGGGAAACAGATTCAATGGGTCTCCTAACTCTAAATTTATTATTAAAGCATTGTTATTTGAAAAGAACCTGGAGAACATATACCATTCAACTCCTATCTACTCTGGCTTTCATTCACTATCACCAGTAATTTCATTTAATTCCCAACTGAACCCTAGTTGAGATGGAAATTATAGCTAAAAAACAGCTCTAAACGTCTTTTTCTTAGTAAAGCAAGCCTCTGCGCACTAAAAGCAGCACATTAGGATTCTAGATAGGCAGAAGTAATGCAAAGGCCTATGTACCCCCTCAATATCTTAAGAGACCACCAAAGTCTGAAATCAACTGGAAGTAGGAGTCTACTTAGAGAAAACACAGCCGGGCGGTGGTGGCGCACGCCTTTAATCCCAGCACTCGGGAGGCAGAGCCAGGCGGATCTCTGTGAGTTCGAGGCCAGCCTGGTCTCCAAAGCGAGTTCCAGGAAAGGCGCAAAGCTACACAGAGAAACCCTGTCTCGAAAAACCAAAAAGAGAAAACACACACACACACACACACACACACACACACACACACACACACGCATGTGTGTAGATGCTAACCTACTGAAGTATTAGTAATACAGGTCTAATTCCAAATTGTAATGATTGTATACTCGTAGTTACGAAAATTTCAACAAGTGTTCAAAACTTAATCCATGAAACACATTTTGAAGTATAATCACAGATTATGCTGGGTGTTGATTACCTTTTCCACAGCATACTAAACAAATGAAGACATCTACCTAAAGAATGTTTATCAAGCTCAACTCTCAACATTCATTTTTTAAACTCAGGGACAAAAGTGCTTGGAAAATAGGAAGGCAAAAGCACCCTTACTTCTAAAGGGCACCATGGTAAGAAGCAAGCGTCTCTACAAAGCATAGCTTCAAAACCAAGTCCCAATACATTGCTCTTATTCAAAAGGTCAAGCCTGGCATAGAGGAACAGGATGTCATGGTCATACATATATTAATCTGCCCAACAGAGTTCCACTTCAGACTGGTGAAAAAAGGACAGTGCTCCCACAATCGGATCCCAATTTATGACAAATATTAAACCAGTTCTCTCCAAACGGACTCTCCAGCATTTTCACACTTGGTTCAGATGCCATGATATGATCAATTCATATTATTATCTCCTACAGTAATCTCTCACCCAAGAGACCTTCACATTCCCATTACTCCTGACATTAGAAACTATATTCTGAAATGTCTGCATTTATTAAGCATTATTTTCCAAAGTACAACATCAAGAACTCCAAAATTTTATTTTAAAAGTAAAAAGAAAACAACCCTAACCATTCTTCACACAGTCCCCTTAAGGGGGACCTGGAAGTGCTTCTCTGAATAATGACAATAAAATGTAAAACTCCTGCAGTAGATCACTATCCTCCTGTCAGGAAGTGACCAGAAGCAAACAGAGGTATCTGGATGTTGCCATCACTCAGTGCTGTCTCCTGACTAACCGTGCTGGCTCACTACAGATGTGCCAAACGCTCCAATTCTAACCAGTCTGTCTGCAGACTTTCCTGTTAGAAATGCCATTTTAAACCATTCACATGAATTTATTAACAAGAATGCATACTTCATCCTAACAGATCCTCTTTGGATTGGAACATTTTATACATCTTTCACAAACAATTTTTTTTCCTGACGGGGAAAGTAAGTACACAATAATAAACCAGGCTTTAGTATCAGGCCTCCACGTAACCACTACCTCCCTTTGTGCCTGCTGTCAGCACTATGAAAACAGTATATGCTTCTTCAGCTCCCTGGAGTGGGATTAACCTGCACCTATGCTACTCCATTTTCAAATACTCATGAGACAAGATGTACGGCCCCCTTCTGCATTCCAGGAACCAGTTCATTTCACTGCTCCTGTCTACCGACTGTTTCCTACTAATACCAACGTGTCTAACTATCAGTGAGAAGAGAGGAAATACGAAGATAGAGGAAGCCAGGTTTGTGCTCAACTGGTTATACACATTTATTTAAAATAATACCTAATCACATGTAATATTTTGTTAGAATTTAACCTTTTGTAGCAGTTCAACGCTTGTTCCTTTTTATAAACCAGTTAGACTATTTCTAACTGGTTGGCAAGTGAGCCAATATACAAAGCTATAAAACACTAAAAACATTAAGATGATTGCATTGTTGTATGTTTGCTGCAAGCCCCAGGAAAACGTAATGGAATTCAGCTACTATCACAAAAGCTACTACATGGAAAAGTCAAGGACTTCTCCAAAGGTCAAGTCATGGCTTAAGAAGTCTTGGTGATATTTTAGTTTATATATATACATACATACATATATATATACATATATATATATATGTGTGTGTGTGTGTGTGTGTGTGTGTGTGTGTATGTTTGTTAGCTGGTTTCTAAAATGATTTTCTTGTGTGCTTCCAAGAACTCCTAACAGTGTATTTATCTAAAATACCTATCAAGCATCCAAGGCCAAACGAAACAACACCTGTCTCCTAGGTCAGGTGAATAGCTTTATTTCTTGTGCAATTTAGGGTGAGACCCTCCTTTCTTATACAATCTTACTAATAGACCCCTAACTTCTTACCTAACCACTTCTAGGAATGTAGACTGAGCACATAGATCCCCATTTTGATATACTAACAGGTCATTAGCACTCAGTTGACCTCCTCTTTTACCACTCCCATTTTGGGTTGTAAAAGAAAGCCTGACGGTCACTGCCTGAGGAAAATTCTTACCTATCTTATGACCCCATAGAATTCAAGCTGGTGACCTTGCTCGGTCAGAGGATGGATCACTATTGCTCAGGTTTATAACTGGATTCCTGAGAGACTTGGGGAGAACTGAGAGAGTCAGAGAACTGAGAGGGAGAAGGAGGATTTTGACTAGAGAACTTGAGGACAAGACAGAGAAAAGAGAACAGAACTAGATGGGTAAGAACTGCAGAGGAACAGACTAGATGGGAAGAACTAGATTGAAGGGCGAGAAGAGAGGACTAAAGGAACAAGATGGGAGATGAGGAAGAGTCAGATGGGGAAGAACAAGATGAGAAAGGAGGAGATGGGAGAGGAGCTGAGATGGGAAGGAACTAGATGGATGAGAACCTAGATGGGTCAGAACTAAGATGAGAGAATTAAAATAGAATTTAGAGGGAATAGCAGATAAATATAGAGAGAATTAAACAGAAAGGAACTAGGTTTGAGTACAGAACTGAAGGTATGTAGATAGGATTTTATCCCAGAGGAATAAAGTAGATGGACAAAAAGCTTGGTGTATCTACATTTATTCCTGCCCTGAATGTCTGATGGAGCTGTAGCTGTAATAGATGGAATTTTGTCTTAGGGGAATAAAGTTAACAGACGTAAGAGCATAGTGTACGTAGAATTTTCCCCTCAGATATTCCATGCTGGACATAGCAAGATCCCCATGACCTCTGGGTATTCTATATATGTTTCTAGTGTTTTATTTTGAAACACTAACTTTTAAGAGTAAATGTCTCACAAACTATTAAACTATTTTACTGTCTGTCTCATAAGAACCACACAATAAATGACAACCATTCGGAATGCTGTTGCTTGATGTACAATATGAGCTGTACAAACAATTTATCACCAAACTGAAGAAATTTCTTTAGTTCTTCGAATCTGTTCTGCCAATTTTCCTTCAGCAAAATTCTGACTTTAATTTTAAATGTGGCATAATAATCTGATTCTAATTTATTTTTCCTAATGTATATTTTTATCCTGGCAACAAAATTGGTATTTCAGCAAAATCAATTACATTGAAGACTTAAATTTATAATATATACAGGAATTCTA